GTAGCACAAGTGGAGTGAAAAAGAGGAGTAGGTAAAACCACCACAAGAAAGTGTTGTCAAGTCAGTCACCACTGCAAGCAACTCATGCAGGATCCTGTGTGACTTTCTGAAATGAGTTTAAGGACCATCTACCTGGAGGACAAAAGACAGGAACATTCATCCATTGGTGTGCTTTCCCTCTTGCCCACATATGGCCCTAGTCTGGGGGATAAATATACGAGTGCAGAGCAAACTAGTATGGACTTCCCTTGCCTTGACATTGGAGACCCAGCCCAGGAAGCAAGAAGCATGAGAGTACCCCAAAGTAAAGGAAGCAGTTTGTGATTGTACCACCATAAAACTGGCTTAAATTGGTGCAAAGAGGTTGCAGTAAAAAAATGGGATGAGACCTTTTGAAGTAATGCACAAGAATGTCTGACACTTAGCAAAGATGCTTCCTCTCTGGGACTTAGTTTCTCATTAAACAGAGGAGTAAAGTATAAGAGAGGAATTTAAAATTCAGCTCCAATTACCAACCTTAGATAGTGCTGGCCTAATGTTACACTCCTAATCCCCTGGACAGGCAGATCAGACCAAGAAAGACTGTGCTGAAAGGCCATAAACACAGGTCCACTAGGTGATCTACTTTGCCTATCTGCTATGTGGCTTCTAGTATCTTTACCCTACTGGGTACCTAGGCCCTGAATAATTCTGATTTGGGAAGGGATGATACTTGGTACCTTCTCTCTTTGGCCCTAAACATAAATATGACTCCTGTCTGGTCCCCAGTGAGTCGACTTCTTTTTACTTGGAAGACTAGAATTGGAGTACATGCCAGCTACACATGGGCTTTGCCACATGAAAGTTTGTTGTGGTAAAAATACTTGGGATTCTACTCACCTTTCTCAACAGCACCCTGATTTTGATCCTCAAGGAAAGCACATACACATGAAAAATCACATGAATTTTAAAACAGGCATCAGGAGAGAGAATGGCTCAATTTAAAATCTTTCAGCTTTGACATTATCCTCTGAGGGTTGATTTTTACACAACTCATGTAGCTGGTGATCGCTATTTTCAAGTTCTAAAAGCAGTAACTATTTTGTTAGTTTTTGCTTATTTCTTTCACTGTCTGCTTTCTGCCCTAGAGTTCCTTCCAGTCCAAATGGTTTCACCCTTCTTATGATTGATACTTTTTGAAAAGACTTTGGAAAATACATTTCAATTCAGTTGTGTGGTGCAAATCACCCAGGCTTCAGACATTTATAATGTCTGGGTTAATAAGGATTTTGGAGATTCAATCCAGAGGTCTGTGTGAAGTTGGGGGAAAAAAAAGGCAGAACAACTCAGTCAAGATGTGTTTAATATTTAAAACAACCATTATGCTCTGTACTTAAGCTTTCAAATTTCCTTTTTATATTTCTTAAGAGACAATGAATAGCTTCAGTTTGAGAGGGTGATCGTCCTGAAAGAGTGCAGAATGACATTTCATTTCATATTTATTAATTTTTTGGCAAGCTCCCGATTCCTCCATTTGATGAGGCTAAGTGATTTCCTCTGAACCAACATTGGTCAACATTATTACCAACTTTGTGATGAAAAATATCCTTTCTGCATATTAAGCCTTCAGCCTCCCTCACATGCTTAACTCATTTTACTCTCAAATGCTTGGCCTTGCAAGTGATTGCTGTGATTCAGTTTTGAGTGAAAGAATTGCTCATTTCCAGTCCATGATAATTATTGTATAAGGCTTAGATTGTTCTATACAAACGCAAGCAAATGATCCATCAGTGATGAAGATAATGGGTGGCAGTTCTTTGATCCCTTCTCATCTGCGCTCATCTCACTCCCCCTCACTTCGTGCTTTGCAGACGTAAGAATCATCTTCATAACCCTTTTGCTGAGTTGAAGTTTCATTTTGCACATAACTACTTAGTGATAGCAACTTGCTGTACCATTTTTTCTTACCTTCCAATGATAGGATGATGTGTTAATTTATTGAATAACATTGTCAAATTAGCATTGTGTAGAGTTTCATCAAGCTTCGCGTGATTGTTAGTGCAGGTTTCTCCACTTTTGCAACTTACAATGAATCCAAATAGAGAGTCGAAATGCTTCCACCTGAAAATAGAATGCATAGTATTCAGTATTAAGTAGTTTGCCTAACTCTACACTGGATAGTGCATTTTTAGAGGCTAGCAGAGAAATGGATTGATTTTTCAAGCTCTTTGATAAGGCTTTTTAAAAATCATTTACAAACTCTGAAATCATATAAATATAAGATTTTAGAAATAGTCTGCTTGTAGTCACAACATAAATCAAACCAATAGCTTCTTTTAGTAATTAAATCTAAAGGATCTACTCAACAGATTTGCTTCTCCTTAATAATTGCAAAATGACAGGCTCTCTGGAAAATAGATAAGACTGAGAGATCAAATCACTTATCTGATATTCTGCGAAAATTAGTTTTGTCCACAGCCATTATAAATAATTATAATTTTAAATTGTAGCTTAGCAGTTGATAGTTTTCTGCTGTTTTTGCTTTGTTTGTAGTAACCTTGCATCTTATTCTAGTGTTTTTGCTTTGTTTGTAGTAACCTTGCATCTTATTCTAATCATGTAAAAATTATTAAATTGTATACAGAATGAACAAAGCATATGAAATGTAAGGACAATAGTGCTTGCAACTTACTATTTAGCTTTATTTTTTTTTTCATATTTTTACCCTTATCGTTGTTGTTAATCAATTGATGAACCTGGAAGAGAAATGAAGATGATGTCCTTTATAATGTCGTCAATGAAGCACTGATTGTTTTAAAAAAAAATTCTGTTCTCACTTTAATGAAGACATCTCATCCCATTGAAAAATCCCAAATGTTATTCGGAAGCTCTCAGACTTTGTTTCATTTGAATCTAAACTTAGTCAAATATAAACTGCATGACCTTGGCAAGCCATTCAACCTCCCTTAATCTCGGTTTCTTTGTGTGTCGTGATACCTATTCCATAGAGTTGTGAAACCTTTAACTCAATGCCTGGAAGAGAGCTGTGTGTTCAAAAAATGTTCATGTCCCTTCCTCCTGAAGCTGATGGGAGGTATTCTCTAGGACCCTTTTGTTTGTAATTTCCAACTTTCAGTGGAAAAGAGGAATCAAGATAAAGCAATACTTTAAAAAGATTCTGCTGTTCTGTGGATGTGGCAACAGATGCTGAAAGCTTCTCCCGCGTAACTCTACTACTGACTTTACATCTCGGATCTTCACAAGATTAAGTACTCTTCCTTAGTAACCCCATGACTGGGAGAAGCCTGTAAACTACTCATCCATTTTAAAACAAGCAAGTCACAGGCCCTGTGACCACGGACTCAGGCCTTCAAACACACACTGGGACATTCCCTGTGGTGGGAAGAGCAGAGCCACAACATTGTGGAAAGTAGTCATCTCATTAATTTCACCCTATTCTTGAGAACACACTGTGAGTCACTGAGGGAGAGTTAGGACATTGAAGTCTGATCCCTGGGAATTATGCTATAGCCCCCAGCACAGCATCCTCTTGTCTGGGTGCGTCATTAGCCTCCAATTAGATGAATGGAGCTTTTGCAAGGGGACTTCTGATGAGTTCTGACATAAAACTGCTTGCTTTGTGGATATTGAAAACATAGCCTACCTGTAGCCTTGAAATATGTGTACATCCATTACTGTCCCCCGTCCTCCCCCACATAAGCCAGTTTACAAAATGAGTCAGATCCTACGGCTGTTTTAAGGTTGAAATGTCACTGACCACTTGAAGCGATGATGCCAGAGTTGAAACAGTTGATTTACCTGTGTGCAGGTGGACCACTAGGAGCTCTTGGGTGTTCAGAATCGACTATATTGTAATGAGATGATATAAAGGACAATGACATTTTTATAGTTTCCTTGAGCATAAAAAGAATAATTAAATATCATAGCTTACTCTTCACATATCCATCCATTATCAAATGTTGATTAAGTGCCTGTTTACTCCTGTCCTCCCCTCGCCTTATTCCTGATAGAGACAATGACATTGAAGGGCCTTTAGTTTGTCCATGATTAAAATACATCCTTTCTATAAGTATTTGTGTGAAAAGAAATATCTTTTGAATATACTGAGCAAACTGGGAGAAAGACGCCATACCCTTTCAAATTAGCATTATAATAATTTACAAAATTAACTGAACCTGTTTCACTGGTATATTAATGAGGCCGATGAGTCACTATTGTCCATTGTTATTGAATTAAACATTTTAGAAATAAAGTTCATCCAATTTATTTAGAAAAGGTCTTAGCTACAAATGCATTTGCTCTTAATTAGCTCCTAATTTGCTTCATTGCTTGAACATAAAGGGTGGATTCCACTGCTCTCTAACCTTCCTGTGGGTATCTTGTTTCAGTCAGTTGATTAATTTTGCGAGGTAGCTTGGACTCTGGATACAAGTCTTGGTGTCCCTTTTCCTGACAGGTCTTGCCATTGTCATCTTGTAGCATGTTCAAGATGGCATCTTCCCTATGAGTAGCTCCGTTAGCTGTGAAAGAGTGGCTGATTAAGTTATGTTTAATATGTATTCAGTCCAGTGACAAACCAAACAGGGCGTGAGCTTGTAATTAGTCCTGGTTGGGAGGGAGAGAGTGTGTGACAGTAAGACGGTGGTATGTTTGGTGTTATAGTCAGAATGACACTCATCATGCACCGGCAAGATGAAGGAGGGATGATGTGTGGGTTGGATGACCAATGGCTTTGAAGCTGTCAACCAACCTTCTAAATCAGACTAAGTACAGTACAGAAGACTTACGATTTAGTTCCCAAACTACTAAACTTTCTTTATGAGGGCGAAGGCTTCTCAAGAGACAATTAATCCATAGATTCACAAGATGTTCTAAGGCAAACTGGTCTGAGCCAAAGAAGCTGAGGAGACCAGGGAGAGAGCCCCACCCACCAGCAAAGATATATAAAAGCTCAGGAGCCTGAAGTGACATTCACAATTCAGGAGGTAACTTCAGCAAGATACCTGCAGCTCTCTGCCTGACATCATGCCCTTCAACTGCTCCACAAGAAATTGCTCTTCCAGGTCAATTGGAGGACGCTGCACTGTCCCAATGGCCCCAGTTGCCACAGCTTCCACCGCTGATGTCGACTGCCTGAGTGGCATCTACTTGCCCAGTTCCTTCCAGACTGGCTCATGGCTCCTGGACCACTGTCAGGAAACCTGCTGCGAGCCCGCTGTTTGCCAGCCAACGTGTTACCAGCGAACTTCTTGCATCTCCAACCCTTGCCAGGTGACTTGCTCTCGACAAACTAGCTGTGTCTCCAATCCTTGCTCAACTACCTACAGCAGGCCACTCACCTTTGTCTCCAGTGGTTGTCGACCCCTGGGAGGCATCTCCAGTGTCTGCCAACAAGTGGGCGGCATCTCTACTGGCTGCCAACCAGTGGGAGGAATCTCTACTGTCTGCCAACCAGTCTGCGGGGTCTCCAGGCCATACCCACAGTCCTGCTTGTCCAGCTGCAGAAGAACCTGCTAAGCGTGTAGAAGCCAGTGAGCGAATCAAGACTCCATGACCTGCCAGCTGTGTTTCCAGGATCTTCCAGCATGCTGCCTGTCCCTGAATAACTCTTCATCACTGACCCCTATTCGGACTGCCTGATAGCTGGCTGCTAGCCATATACACGCTGCCTTGGGAACTCTAAAATTTTTCTGGCCAGCACCAAGCTTATTTTAAGGGTTGACACTGGTGCTGTGAATGCCTCTGGCTGTTTCTAGAAGCTTTACTACCCACGCCCCAGTCTCTGATGCTTTGATGTTTTGACCTTGCTGCTGTATCTCCTGGCTTCTGCTTTTGTGTCTCTGAAATGGGGAGCTTGTCTCGCTATGTATTTCTGAATAAATCTGCGTTTGTTGGCATTGCAAATGTACGTCTCAGCAGAGTTCTTTATTTGCAAGGGTTTTTGCTGTCTACAATCAGGGTCTGATTTTGTCTTCTAGAATATGGGTGTGGTCATTGTGTTCTTTGACCAAGCAAGGGATTATCTTCTATTTACTTGCTCAGAGAGCATCTTTGCTGCGTGCTAATGTAAAGGTTGTGAGATTTCTCAGAGTGACTTGACCGCTATTTTCCCTCAATCTTTAGGGCTCATGTAGTAACCAAGTACTTCAGAGAATTGTAGAGTGAGGGGAGCAGTGGGATCAGTTAGAGGGTCGGAGTATGATTTAATCAGAGGACCACAGTGGAAACCTTTACAAAAGGTTCATGGTCAGCCAGGTTGAAGAGAGAAGGGGGAAGGAAAAGAAGTGTGTTTCCCAGCCCTGAGAGTCATTGCATCAAGTGTTTTTCTGTCTTTATACTCCCTGCACTCGCTGTAGGAGATTGCTAGACTCAGAGCTCTGAGAAAATTAAAGCTCTGTGTTTTTACAAATGTGGGCAGGAGGGACTCAAAAGAAACTTAAAGATATGTTGGTTGCTTTAATACGCAGGGCCTTACTTCTTGCTTGCCCTCCACTGGAACCCATGTGCTAAATAAAACAAACCATCTGGAGGGGTAGGGGGGAGTCAATGTACTAACTTCTTTAGCCTTTTTTTAGAAGGTGAAGACTGGCTACCAAGTGCTTTGCTTTTGCCCTTATCATCTGTTATGTCCAGAAACATCTTTATTTTCTTTTCAGAGTTGCTCAAGGAGAAACACAAACTGACAATTTTTACAGAAAATGGAGATGTAGAAGATACACGTGCCATGAGCCTTTTCTCATAACAGGAGGTGCTAGTGCCTTGTGAAGAATCTGATCATAGATCTCTGTTGTCAGTGTCAGTTTTCTTATTTCACTGATGGTTTTTCAGAGGCAAAACATATAGATGATTTCCGTATGGATGGAATACTTTTAATTTTTTATTGCTGACTCTTCTCTCAGGATCCTCCTAATTAGATCATGTAAATATGTATAACTCACAGCAATATCTCATTAAAGCAAGACATGATTTTTACTCTACATTAATCCCATGCTCTCTTTTTAAAAAAGACATAGTCTAGCTTTCAGAAATTCTCTGGTTTATTTAAAAATACAAATCTCTAGATATGTGGCCCTTTCAAAACTGGTGTTTACATGACTCTCATTTATTGTTTATTTCAGTCGCTTCACATATGATTTGAAAAATTCAGAATTTTTCAGAAATTGACAGACTTTTCAAAAAATGTTATTGCTTTTTTACTCTTCAGCTTTCAATAAAAAAAGTAAAGATAGAAGTGTCTCCTTTCTTTTTATTTAGATGACTAATCTGCTCTAATAGTATTTCTATGTTAATAATATATAGTAACCTAGGTTTTGTGGTCAGATATGAATAAGCTTTTGCTTTGGCTATTTATTGTGATAATGTGAACATTTACTGTAGTATCTGTCTTACAAACTTATTTCCTTTCCTTCATTTCTGTTTGGGGAATCATCTTTTTTCGCTATTAGAGCTATTTCTATTTGTGCTTGAACTTTGAAAGTTCTCTCCGTTCTTTGCTTTATTACATAATAAATCATAAAGTTTCAAAGTTTGTCTTTGGAAAGAGTCTTTTAAAAGACAGGGCAGTGATGATTTCATTCTCTTCTTCATGTTGAGCCTGGAAATGCAATTTGTATTCAACATCTCCTAGCTGCAGAAAGAAGTAAAGCGTTTCCTGGTTCTGCCACTTGGGTGCAGGTTTGGTATGAATTGTACCCCACATCTTTAAAAAAAAAAATCCTAAGCCTTAGCTCATCTGTGTGTGAATGGGAGATAATGATAGCATCTCACACCTCTGTTTTCAGGAAAAAAAGAAACCTGAAATAATATGTATGTAACCCAGGTATCAACTAAGCCATCCTGTCATTTAATATTGAAAATAAATTAGCTGTCTACCTGCTCTCCCTGTTTGGTGGAAGTCCTGGCTGCTCCCAGCATCTTTGAGAAATCTGAGAGTGGAGAGCTTGGGGGAAGATGCCTAATTCTTATATCTCCTCTGTCTCTGAGCTTTTATTTTCAAAGAATTAGTTCATTTTATACATTTTCTTCCTATTTTAAGGTCAGTTTCTGTTCAGACTACCATGATTCAGACACTTAACACCACTGGTTTTCCTTGATTTTCACTAAAATCCACTTACACAAAGAACTTGTGTGTTTAACAGACTTTATTGAAAGTTTGAGGGCACAGAGGACATTTATACTCCAATGATGAAAACAACTTAAATTTGATTTAAAATTTGTTTGTTGTGGTAAAATACACACTGCATACAGTTATCATTTTAAATATTTTGAAGTGCACAATTCAGTGGCATTAAGTGTAGTCACAATATCATGCCATTATCCATTTCCAGAACTTTTTCATTGTCCCAAACTGTGATCTCTTGGCCATTGTCTCTGGGACATTAACTTCTGCAGATCAAAACCCAGTTTCTTTATTTCTATTTCCCCCCTTTGTCTCTTCCTTTGTCCCTCCTATCCTCCCTGTATCTTTTCCCTTTGTCCTCCCTCACTATTTTTTTTGCCGCGTCTTCTGTCTTTATTTCAACAAAACTTGGAATATCCCGGCTTCTATGCTAAGTGCTGGCTGTGGTGGCAAACAAAGCCATTATCAGTCCTGCTTTCATGAAGTTCATAGTTGGGTTATGTAGAGCAAATTCACTGGTTCTTCACCATCATCTTCTATCTGTTCCCTTGAAGCTTTACCTTTTCCTTCCAAATGCTTTGTCTTTTCCCTCCTAAACATGGAGAGAAATAAGTGGTCATGGTACAGGTGAAGTTTGGACCTACCGTTGGTCCTCTCTTCACCTGGTTTGGGTTCAGGCACACCAAGATGCTACATCATGTAAGTGCTCAGTAAATGGTAGATACTCAAGCCCTTTTCTTATATGATGCTTGCTTATAATAAAAATATGATAAAAGCTGAAAGTGTAACCTACCTCTGGATTATTTGACTTTAAATCTGAGAGACATGAAGATTGTAAGACTCAAAGGAGTATACTGATATCTGATTGAACGGCAGGAAGAAGCAGTCAACACCTTGAGGCACAGTCCCAGATCAGTCCCTCTAAAACAACCCATGTAAAGACCTAAACTGGTCTTTTTAGAGTTTTGAAAATCTCCTCCTGTGCTTAGGAATTTGTAAATGCCTTCATATTTGAAGAACATTGTGTTTGTTCTTGTGAACCTGAAATCTTTATTTTTTAGAATATCTACCTTCATTCTCTTTCATAAACTGAGCTTTCTCATGTTAAATTACCTGACGAGAATTTACAGAGATGGCCTGGAATAACATACAAAGAAATTTTGAAAACTCAAGTTGGTTACAATGTAATCTATTCTATTAATATGACTAATTTAGATTGCACATTTTCTTTTTAATCAATATTTTTTATTATGATATTGTGGGGTACAGTTAAGTATTAGGTATACAAATATGCTTCGTTCAGGCACCCTTGTTGATAAGAGGTATCTCCTCATCCCCAGACAGATATTTACTACCGTTAATTCCATTTCCCTTCCCCTCCTCCCCCATAGTTTTCCACCACTGCCAGTCATTTTCTTATAGTATTACATTGGATGTTCAAGGTCCACTATATAAGTGAGAACATGTGATACTCAGATATTTGTTTCTGTGAGAGGTCACTCAGTATTATAGACTCTAGTTCCATCCACGTTGCTGCAAAATTCATGATTTTGTTCTTTTTTATGGCTGCGTAGTATTCCATCGTGTATATGTACTACATTTTTAAAATCTAGTCCTCTCTTGATGGACAGTATTGTTGCTTCCAGGCTCTTGCTACTGTGAACAATGCTGCGATAAACATACGTGTGCAGGTATCTTTTTTTATAGAGTGATTTGAGTTCTTCAGGGTATATTCCCAGTAGGGGGATTGTGGGGTCATATGGGAGGTCAATATTTAGAGCTTTTAAGAATTGCCATACTGTTTTCCACAGAGGTTGTACTAATTTGTACTCCCACCAATAGTGTAGAATTGTTCCCTTTTCACCACTCCCTCTCCAGCAACTGTTATTTTTTGAGTTATTGATAATTGCCATTCTGACTGGAGTTAGGTGGTATCTCAATGTGGTTTTGATTTGCATCTCCCTGATGATTAGTGAGGCTGACATTTCTTCATGTGTCTGTTGGCTACTCAGAGGTCTTCCTTTGAG